GTTTCTAGTTATTTTATTTTGCTGCACGCTACCAATTATATCAAAAGAAATTTTAAAAAAATAACATGTTCTAATTAAATATGAAAAAAAGGAAATTCATATGCCTGATAAGTATTACCAATGTCACGCGTACTCTTGCAAAATTATTCGGTTCCATTTGATGCCTCCACTTTTGTTGTTTCCTACTTTTAGATTTCACCTCAATTATGGTATGTAATTAAATAATATTTTTTTGAATTGATAAATAAATTAGAAAACAGCGGTTATGATGCAAAATATGTCAAAGAGTAGAAATGCACTATTTTAGCTTTACTTGAACGGTCCGGTGTTGTCAATACTCGATCAACTGGCGGAATTGAACTTCAGGAATGTCATCAGGATGTTTTGCTAGCATATCCTCAACAGTACTATTTTTTATCAAAATATCTCTCTTTAATCACATGTGTGTGTTGCCTCTTAGCATCACGAAGAGCAGTCATCACCCACTTCTTTCCTTCTATTTGGATTAGGAATTTGGACTATGCAAAATAAATATATTTAGCTTCATTAGTAAAAACAAACAATAAAATATGTAATCTCAAAATTGATTGTTCTTACATTGATATATTTTCACATACTTTTTCAAATATCTTTTGGCACAGCATGCCAAGTAATGTACATCAAGTTGATGAATCTAGGATTCCTTGCAATTGTTCCAATAAAATTGGTTAATTCCGACATTATCTTACTAGTTGGACCAATTACTTGTCCTTTATCAAATGTCACCTCCTCTCTTTCTTCCGAATTTCTGCTTCGATAAACCTAGATTGATGTAACAACCAAGAGATAAGAAATTTCTTTTATAATGAGTAATAAATCGTACAAGAATTAAAAGATACCTTTTGCACTACAATCAATATCATCTTCCTCGTCTATAGCACACTCATCCTTGTCGATTTGTTCTTAATCCTCTAGATCATCCAATCCTTTATTATGTTTATGAATAGAATGAAGAGTATGCATACACTCGACATCCGCTTATGTGTGGTTAACCTATTTTCTTTTATCACCTATGACTATCCCTTATTGTTTTAAAAACTAATCAATATTAGTAGCTGGTATGACTGACTTCTTCTTTACTTGTTTTATGTTTGGTAGATCATGATCAACATCATCTTCTTTGTGTTGTTTTCTCAGTAGTAGATCCTGATTATCATGTTGTTTCTGTTCATTACCTAATGTTGTTCCAGTCACATGTACAAAAGCAGTAACACCTTACTTGGACGACGTTTGCACATTACATCCAACAACAAAAAAAGAGCAAAAATATATAAAAATTAAATCACCCAAAAAAAAGAAAATAACAAACTAGCTACATAGATTTGGAATGCACACACCACCATCTTGATGTAGTTGTTCCTTCCATATGCTTCCAGTAAAGAAAAGTTCCATGTTACTTTATCTCAATTAATATAAGTCATTCGTCTTGAACAAACTAGAAGGAGACTCAATTAACTTTAAGAAAACAGATCAATTCATATCAACTAAGAAACTGATACAAATTAGCAGCTCGTTATTTTAGTTGCAACAACTCACAACACTCTTGGTCTCACAAATAAGGAAAATTTATAGGTAAAGAGATCTACCACTCTTAGAGCGAGGAACTCAGGACAGAGAAGAAAACAGGAGCGACTTCAACCTGTAGAGTTCTGTGTTCTGCCTCTAATGCCCAATGCCTGAAAATAAAAAGAAACAAATAAGAATATAAATAACAAACATCCAAATAAAAAATATTCAGCTAGGCGTACATGTTCCTTAGTAATTTAATAATCAGACAAGAAACCAACATAAATCACTTGACCAAACAACAATTTGGTGCATAAAAAAAGGTAACAAAATACTTAAACATTGAAGTGATCTAACCTTCAATTCCACATATTAGATATCTTAAAGTGATTTTACAAAAAAAAAAATAATTAAATTACAAAAACAGTAAGCGACCACTATATGGTCATCACAAAAATAATGAAACTTATGGTGCGTCATGTTCAAACTCTTCTTCATACTCATCTTCAAGCTCATCTTCATACTCATCTCCATACTCATTTTGAGACTCGTATTCAAACTCATCTTCAAACTCATCTTCAAACTCATCTACAAACTCATCTTCAAACTTCTCTTTATACTCGACTTCAAGTTCTTGAGTAAAAAATTATTTTGAAGACACATAAATAATTGTTTCTGGTACATCAATCCTTGTTAACAACACCATTATCTTTTGGTATAGATGGTCCCATCAAATGTTCAAATGGCTCGTTGTCATAACTTTGTGAGAGATTAGATTTTACTTCATCACCCATGTTAAACAAATCTCTCGCAACAGTCTTCATAACATAATGTTTATCTTGATCATATGGATCTTACACATAAAAGCATTGGTGTACTTGAGATCCAAGCACAAAAGGCTCTTCATGAGAACATCTCTTGTTAAAATAGACATAAGTAAGACCATAAGCATCATTTTCAACCTCATACCAATTGCACTTAAATAGAACAACCTTAAAATGACCGTAGTAGTCTAATTCAACAATATCAACTATTCTGCCATGATAAGTCAAATCTGCAACAATCGGATTTTTTATCCTTTGAGCTTGAAAAGCTTGTAGTTGAGGCAACTACTGTAACACCACTATTTTGTGTTTTACGCCTTGTATCATGCTGCCTAACATGGAACTTATATCCATTGATTAGATACCCACAATATCTTTTTGCAACAGAATTTGGTCCTCTAGACAATTGTTTTAGCAAATCAGGCACATCCTCTTGCAAAACACGAATTTCAAACCATTGAGAGAAGTTTTGACAATGATTCTTGGTCTTGATTCGAGAACCTGACTTAGTAACTTGTCATCTAAATTATTGGATCAGTCTTCTTTGCTCCTAAAAGAACTCCTTTGTTAGGAAACAAACTCAAAGTTTTTGAATCAGTTGAGTCACATTCTTCATTATTTCGAGCTAATATGTTAAATCTGGTATGCACACCCCTATGATGATATTTAGAGAATAAATTCATAAAATCTATTCTCACTCGTGTCTCTGCTATGCAACCTTCTGGATAATGTTTGCTGCGAATGTATGATTTGAATGTACCCATTTATCTTTTGGTGAAATACATCCATCGATTTTGAACTGGACCTCCTAATCTCACTTCATTTGCCAAATGAATAGGCAAATGAATCATTTTATCAAAAAATGAAGGAGGAAAAATTCACTCCAACTGATTTATTATTTCTATGATCTCTACGTCTAAGCAATCCAGTTCCTCCAATGTGATTACTTTTTGACACGAACGACGGAAGAAGGAACTAAGATGAATCAAAGGAATAGTCACATGATCAGGAAGAATGCTTTTGATTGGTATTGGAAGCAAGTAATGTAACATGAAATGGGTTTTGTAATTAGACAATTTTCTTTCATCCATGTGCACACACCTAGATATATTGGAGGCACTACCATCAGGTAGCTTGGCTGTCTTTAAAAATCCACAAAAAATTGATTTCTCTCCATTTGTCATTGAGAAGCACGCCTTTTTGTAAACTTTGTTCTCTTACTATCTTCAGTATCTTTTGGATGAAGGTTCTGTATGATTCTCATATCTTTCAAATCATATCGGGCTTTTGCATGATCATTTGCTTTGCCAGAAATATTCAAAAGAGTTCCAAGAATGCTATCAACTATGTTCTTCTTTATGTGCATTACATCGAGGTTATGACGTAACAAATTATGCTGCAAATAAGGTAATTCAAAAAATATTGACCTTTTTTTTAATGGGCCATCATTTGATCTCTTTCTCTTCTTTCTGAACACATTTTCAAAATCCTGTAAGCTTTTAAGCAAATTAGTTCCCTTTATATAGGGTGGAGGAGGCCTGAATTTAGCTTTACCATTGAAAGATCTTTTACTAGACCTCCATGGATGATCCATGGGTAGAAAAACACGATGATCCATATAAAACATTTTTCGACTATGTTTAAGATAGCGAGAATTAGTGCCATAGTTACAACAAGGGCAAACAAACTTTCCTTTTGTACTCCAACCAGATAACATAACATATGTAGGAAAGTCATTGATAGTCCACATAAGAGCTGCCCGTATTTGAAAAGTTTAATTTCTTGAAGCATCATATGTTTCAACCCCAAAATCCCACAATAATTTTAACTCATCTATCAATGGTTATAAGTAAATATCAATGTCATTTCCAGGTGACCACTGCCTAGGTATAAGTAAAGAAAGTATAGAATATTCAGATTCCATGCATATCCAAGGCGGCAAATTATACATCATCAACATAACTGAACATGTGCTCACATTGGGACAATCTAGTGCAAAATATGGATGCAATCTATCAAAATATTTCCATGCTAGACCATCAGTAGGATGACTTAACTTTCCATCTTTGGAACGCTCCTCTTTATGTCACCTCAAAGAATATGCTGTCTTTGAGCACATAAATAGCCTTTTGAGTCTAAGAATTAATGGAAAGTGTCTCAAAGTCTTTGCTGAAACTCGATGTTATTTTTTCGAAGGCTCAAGCTCACTATTAACTTCAGGAGATCTAATATATCGTGAATCTCCACAAGTATGACAAAATTCATCATCCTTATGATCATTCCTGAACAATATGCAATCATTGGGACATGTATCAATTTTCTCATAATCAATATTCTTAACCATAAACTTGGTTTTATTGTAAGACGGAGGAATATTCAACTCGAGAATCACCCCTTTTAATAACAATAAAAGAGAATTGAATGATTCATTGATCCATCCATGTAGACACTTCAACAAATATAAATGAAGTATGAATGATAATTTAGAGAACCATGTAGTACAACCAGGATATAATTCTTGGCTTGCCTCTTCAACTAAGTTATAGAATTTTTTGGCATCTTCATTTGGACCATCATAAACTCCTTCAGCATGTATAACATTTATAAATTGACCATTCAACAACACATCAATATCATCACTCGAGCAATCCATATCATCGTCAACATTAAAATTGATATCACATTCCCCATGATTGATCCATCTAGTATAGCCTTTAACAAATCCATAAGCTATTAGATGATCATAGTCTACATTCCTTTGAGTCCAACGAATATTACAACATTTTGCACATGGACACTAAATCTCCTCCCCTGGAGGATCTCCATAGGAGTAAGCGAAATCTAGGAATGATTCAACACCATCAATATACTCTTTGCTATACCTTGCGAACTCCATCCAATCCTTGGATGAGATATTTGAATTCCTAGAAGAATATATCAATATTTAATATTTTGGTAACAGTTAAATCATGTACTACTTCACAAATAAATTTTAAAGTTCATGAGTAAGTTATCAGAACCAGGCGTTATCAGATGATAAAAGTTTCTTACCTAGCCATGGTACTTGTGCTAGTCGAAATCAAACCTTGAATCCTCCACGAATATTTCCGAATGTTGATTATACTACCAAGGAAAAATAAGTAAAATTAATAGGATAGACAGAATCAAGAAAGAAATTAAATTAGTAGAATAGACTCAATTAAATGAACTAATCAAGATTAAGAAATTCTATTGAGAAGCAGGTTCAAGTTGTTTAGCTAGCTCCTCTCACAATTAGTTTCTTAATTTTTTTCAAATTTTGACTTTTTTTTTATCGGGAAATGACTTAGATCAAGGATATAGCTATGTTTGCAGGTAGTCTCATATTCTCCTCTATAGTTTCTAGTCTTTAAGTATCAAAATCAGACAATTATGGTTGAAAAATTTTTCCATTCGAGGACACTTTTTAGAAACAAACATAATTATGTTTAAGTAAATATGTTTGAAATACATATTTCAATGTAATGGACCTAGATTAAATGGAGAGAACTAGCAACAACAACAGATACATCACACAGGTATAACTACTAATTCTACAGTCCCTACTTCTAATAATTTCATTGATCTTTCTATGCAGGATCAACCAACAATCAAGAAGGAGCCGAAAAGCAGAAATTCAATAAGTAAGGATACAATGGATACACAAATATATAATAAGTCAACCACTGATAGCATGTTGAGCATGAGAACACTCACATTGACCGTAGTCTAGAACATACATCCCCTTCCACCACCCTCAGCATCACATTCAGAAGAAACAACAAGTTCGAGAGAGGTCTTAGGTTAATACTACAAGTCAGGATCAGAAACTTTTCTTGCATTTTAAAGATTTTGCCTCAACTTAAATGTGGCTGAACCAACTTTGCCCACTACTCCTATAAAAAGGTTGAGACTGAGGTTGGGACTACTAAATATCAAATCCAAGGTATCAACAACCTGTTTTGGAAAGCTAACAAAAGATCCTATCAAACTAGTGGCTCGTGCTGAAAATGCAAAACTTTCAACTGCTGGTAAAGCATAGGAATAAACAGAGAGAAAGAGTGAGATCGGATCGCATTGCAGGCTAACTGCTGAGTATATTACTGCATACAAATTGGCGAACTTAATGCTGAAGAAATGAAAGTAAATACTGATAGTTATTGCTACAGAATCACTTCACTCAACATGTTTAAGAAAATATTGGCTGTGTGACCAATATCCCCAACTAAACCACACTACATCAAGGGTTAGTTTTAAAAATAATCATAAAATTTTAAAATAGTACTAAAAAAGTTGCAAAAACTATTTTGTCATAGGCAACGCTATGCGATTCGTCTCACAGCAGTACCTACACTCAACCCCACAACATCCCAAAAACCTTTTTCCTGAACCACTTCAATATTTTCTTCAATATTGCAACTTTTAGGTCCATCCACATTCAAAGTTCAAAGTAGTAAAATAATAGGGAAAAAAGTACAACTACAACCCAAAATCACTAGAGTCCTCCTTCAACACAATACCACACTCATACAACTAAAATAAAGTACATACTCTAGCTGCAAGACTCAGGCAATTCATGAGGCACATCCAACAACCATTGAAATAGTTACTCCTAGACAAACTACAAAACAAGGACATGTCCTCAATCACTTAAATTTACAAAGTTGCAAGACATTGAACAAGTTGTGATGCTAAAAATGAACATTAAAAGGTTCAATGAAAATTAAAACAAGCTATTAACGAATAGAAGGGGCATAAAAAAGTTGAATGCACTATGTACATGATATATACTTACTGATTCAAATGCTTCCAAGTAGTAATTCAATATATCTCGTCTATTGAATATGCATAGGAGTCACTTCGGTGATCACGATCTTCGCGCTTTCTTCTCGTACTTTGAAATTTTAGTTGTAACTCGTGATTTGTTTCATTTCAACAACTCCAAAGTAATCAACTCCTTCTAAGCACAAAACAAATATTAGTAGAAAATAAAAAAGAACCCCGACTGCAGAATATGAACTCATAAAATCTAATGGTGTTGATGACATACAGAGAAAACATATATAAAACCCCAACATAATTTAAATGAAAGAAAATGGACTCATAAAATTGATCAATTTTTCCACTATGTACTTCAACAATCAGACATTGTAGGTAATTCAATATGCAGTCGAACAATAACTTTATGACCCTTCAAGCCCACATTCTTCACAATAACATAACAAGTATACCCAAATTGGCCTCAACCCACTTCTTCCCCAATTTCATACTCACTCACAAATTGCTTAGAAAATCCAAAACTCAGTGTACAGTTAAGACTCATAAGAACTGTTCATCAAACAATTTCATGTTCTCTAGATTTATCTGAACTGTTCATTAAACAAAGTGAGTCTACTTTTAATGAAATATATATACTAGATTTTTTTTGGACAGTACTTTAAACTTCTAAGAGCAAGATCAGGAAGAGAAACAACAAAACAAAACTTTGAACGACAAGTAGGGGAATAACAACTATGAATACAAATTCTCGGATCTTTAAAGCAATATTACATCAGACCCGCAAAAGTAACTAATTAAGAAACACATCTCATATTGAATCAACATTAACTCAAAGATAAATCAAATAAAAAGAAACAAACTCATCAGAACAACTTTCAAACAGTCACAATATCACTCTCAAAATAAAAGCAGAGGCGAAAAAAGTACTATGAGTAAAATAAGATTACCTTTCTTCGGACAGCAAACTTGAAAGGAAAGAGCAGGGAGACGATCTTCACCACGAAACTCGAACACTAATGACAGATGAGAATTCCGGAATAATCTCACACTTGAACAAAGCTTGGGAAAATTAATCAGCGAAACGAACTAGAAATTGAACTTGGAAGGAAAAAACTGGACGATGAGGTATATGCAACTTGGAGAATGAAAATAAAGCTTACCTATAGAAAGAGACTTTCAAAACAGCCAATCAAATGATTAAAACGATCAATAACAAACATGATTTATGTATTCAAAACGGCAGTAAACTTCAGGGTAGTAAGTAGCATACTTCAGTCAGTGTATTTTGAAATATTGACAGAGTTATTCTACTTTCTTGATAATCTTATAATAGTGAACTTGTCGAAGGATCAGTTCAATGTTGATAGGTCATATACCTGGGACCTAAAGTAACCTTAGCAGTGACCACACATGAAAATATTAATGGCCTACACTTGAGTTCTTCAAGACTACCAAAAATCTCCAAATGCTAAGCAACTGAAGATGTTGACATGAGTTAGTTACACATGTTAACAAGTAGGTCAGTTAGTGTAGCTAGTATATAAGCTTGTACTTTCACATTCATTTCCATTTCAGGTGATAACATCTAACTATGACAATTGTTGTGAACATGAGTCCCACAGTTTCAAGAAGTTCAGCTGAAGCATATATAATATAGGAGTTTGGCTTCAATTACTGCACAAGTTGTTTGGGTTAAAAATTTGATCAAATAAAGGAAAGAAAGATAAGTGCATAAATATCACCAAAACTGATTGTGTAATATGAAAATGAACATTGATTAGGATATTTATTTCTTAGAACATCATGCTTTACCTAGGCATCTCCATTAGATGCAACACATGCATACTGGGATTTTAAAATTTTGTACTTTATAATATTGTTTATGTGCTTATTCGAATTCAGCCTAGAAGATGACGTCTAGTCTCTCTAAGCATCAGGCTTAGATGTTTCTTTTTTATGTAGATATTTCCTCCACACGATTGGCTCTGTCCAAATTGCACATACAAATTTTTTAACACCGGCAATACTATCACAGAGAAAGGTGAGAGAGCTGTAAATGAGTTTCTCTTGAGAAAAAATGTAAAGTTGTTTTGCTTTTGAAGGTTTAGTTGCTTTACATCTTCTATAATTGAGTTGAATTATTGAACTTTCATTTTGCAGATCATAAATCATGCAGTCTGTATATGAATGTTATATCATCTAGTTCTAATAATTCATTTGTATCGTTTTGCGGGCAGAATGCCAAGAGGTATTTCTATTATTCTGTTTGTGAGTTCTCCTGTATGATGACATATTAAGAATCACTAAAAAAAATCAATCTTCATTGTTCACTATTTTTCAATTGTTGTCCTGTTGCAAATTCTAATAGAGTTAACTGTCATTTACCTTCATATTAAACAAATAGCATTTGGCATAAAGTCCATCCATGTGTTGAAAAATGCAGTCAAAGCTGATCCAACTAAAAGGTTGTGGTCTTTAAAAGATCTGCTTGCCAAATATGATGCAGATACAACCAAAAAAGACGATATTTTGGACTTCAACCCTGAAATAATATAAGAATCATTTCTTCTTGACACACTGTTTTCAATGAACCACTTATCATTTAATTATCCTCAGCACTGTAATGTGCATATTTGTGATCTGAAGTTTGATATCATGGATTGTAAATTCTAGTAGCTCTCTTTTAAAGAGTCTGTATCTGTAACCTTCTACTTTTTAGTCATCTAAGTTCTTATATGATTGTTGTGGCATGTAAATTTTGAGTTTCTAATTTGCTTGAGCCAAAGATACCTCGTGGTACCAATTCTACATGTGACACAAGTTAAGGGACATTCCAAGAGAAAGATCAGGAAAAGAAACAACATAACAAAATTTTAAATGACAAGTAGGGGAATAAAAACTATGAATACAAACTCTCGAATCTTTAAAGCGATATTACATCAAACAGTCACAATATCACTCTTAAAATAGAAAGATAGGCGTAAAGAGTACTATAAGGAAAACGACAGTACCTTTCTGCGGGCACTGAACTGGAAAGGAAAGAGCAGGGAAACGATCTTCACCGCGAAACTCAAACACTAACGACAAATGAAAATTCTGGGAAAATCTCAGACCCGAACAAATCTTGGGAAAATTGATCTGCTAAACAAATTAGAAAATGTGATACTCTTATCGACAGTAAACTCTTCTTGCCTTGAATATGCATCTATATATATATATGAACTATTATCTTCAAATTCTCTAAATGTTTTTTCTCAAATAAATCTCAACTTTTTCCCAACCCCCAACAATGAAAAAGAGGTTTATATAGGAAGGCTAATACGAACTACACTCCCAAAAATCAACTAATGAAGCTATAATACTAGCCACACTCCCAAAAATTGTATAAGAAAACAAGAATCCAAACCTAAAGCTAAAACTTAGACTTTCAAAATAGAAGTTCTTACCTGATAAACCCTATTCCAACAAAAGCAGTCTGAAATCCTTTTCTTCGGTGGGAAATTGGAGAGAAAAGCTTCACAGAGAGACTATTTAACTTCATTTCATCATCTTGCCGACAACCCCAAAGTATCCAATTCCTTCTAAACACAAAACAAAGAAACAACCACTTCAGCTAATAGGAACACAATTTGAGTATTACACTTGATGAAATAGCCATCAGAAAAGAGAATCGGACTTGTAGTTCCAGAAATCATTAACGGAGAGACGACTTGAACTGTTAGTGACTTCAAATCTTCAACTCTTCAGCTCAGTTCTTCGATAACTTCAACTCTTCAGGGTGTTGTTCTCACAAATCGCAGAAGAGAATCTGTTCTCAACTCTCTTCACCAGCTGTTCATTATCTCTTTCGTTGTTCAATGAAAGAGCGTTGTTCAGTGATAGAGAAAGTTTCAAAGTGGAAAGTGAAGTCAAAAAGGAAAGCTGAAAAAGATAATGTTTATGATTTATTAATGTTTTTTTTGGCCAATAAAAATGGAAGGGAGAGTTAAAAATATTTGAGGGAATATAAAACTTTAGTGAAAAATTTTAGGGTAACACTTATAAGGTGTTGTTTTTTCAATTATAAAAATAGGACATTTTAGAAATGTGGTCATATCTGTAAATAGGTGTTGCCTATTATATTATATTGTAACAACACTTATAAAGTGTAGCTTATACCATTAAAGAGTACACTTTTGAAGTGTTGTCAATATTATTGTAGCTAAAAGTAAAAAATTCTGGCTACAGTTTAAAAGCGTAGCCAAAAATATTTTAGGCAACATTTTACAAACGTAGTCCAGATTTAATGTGGGGATAGGCCTAAAATGTTGTAGTGTGTGCTTTCACTTTTTAACTGAATTTAGATGTTGCATAATTTAGAATGTTAGGAATTGGTTCGCCTATTGGAGAATTGGTATAGGTGATAATCACAACGATTTGAGATCATGATTAAATAACTAATATATGGCAACAAATGTAGAAATCAAACATTTTTCACTTAATCTTTTACTAAATCATTACAAATTCTATAACCTGAAGCGATAAAGAAAAATCAACATTAACTTTTATTATAAACAAAATTCAATAAACTCTAGCGACGAAACATGTAAATATCGTTAAATCCATAGCTAATTTTATATCAGAGGAAACCAGCTTCACAATTTTTCTTTTCTCAATTTCAAATTCACACTACAACAAAATGACCATTAGCGGCATTTAATTTTTAATTGTCGCTAAATATGTATTTTTAGCGGCTATTGTCACTTTTTGTATATGTCCCTAAAGCCTTTAGTGACATTGGTTCTAATGACATTTAACTAATGCGGATAAAACTTTAACACTCTTTATTAGTGTCAATATTTAATACCGCTAAAAGTTATTTTTATTGTAATATGCTTTTTATCTCCTTTCTCTATTTCATAAAAAATTTCTTTCAGTTTCAAATTTATATTTCTTAATTTCTACGCGAAAGGCGTAAATGAATAGTGATTAAGAGTCACAGATTCAATTGATTTTTCATTTTAAATATAGAATTTTGTTTAATAAAGGGGAACTGGCCTATAGTAAATAGTTCCACAAAGCCTCCAATCCATAAACTAGTCCAAAGTTTATTAAAACTTGCAACTAGTTTGGAATTGTATTTTACTAACATCTTATAAATAGTTTGTTATTTCTGCGTAACTAATTCTTGTATAACTATCACATTGGTTGTAATTCACTAGTAAAAATGTCACCTTAATTGAAGGTCTCGGGTTTGAGTCTTGAAAATTAAGAAATCCTGTTAGAAGCTCGAAAGAGCCGCACAATTTAAATTTAGTCGGATCTTTAATGTGCACTTCAGACACCGAATCAATAATAAAAAATATTAAAAAAATCTTATATAATTAATACATACATAAAATAAATAATACATCGACATATTCATTACAATTTTTTTATTTTCAAAAAACCACTTGTAAGTTTTAGTATTGGTCTTCACTTGTAAGGCATTTTTGACCAATTTTCACCTAATTGAAAACGTTATTCTTTACGTTTCCAAGTTAAGCCTAACTTCGAATTTTGACTTCTTTTTTTTTTTTTGCGTGTCTTTTGATTTGTTAGTTTTACAACAAATTAAATCTAGAGATAACTCATATGGACTTTACATAAATTACAATTAAAAGATTATTATTTCCTTTTATTTTTATGTAAGATTTGTACAAAATATGTACTTATTTGTTTATCTTAAAACAATTATCATTTACATAAATAAAATACATATAGCAGATATCAATAAATATTTTATTATAATATCAAGTTTAATCAATCATTAATAAGTTTTCTTAAATTCAATGGGGGACAGGCTTGTGGATTTCAAACATCTATATTTTTGACCGGATTCAATACATTACTTAAATATATATATATATATATATATATATATAT